AAGAACACAATGATTGGAAGCGCTTCTTCCCTCCTTTTATAGCAATCAGTCTGCTCTTACAATCAATTTAGTATGATAGTGATTAACCTGACTAGAACTCATTCACACTTTCACATGTGCTGTTGATATGATTAGTCAATTAATGTTAGCTGGTCATTTTGTGTCAGGATCAAAAACATTTTTTTTTTTTTTTTTGGTGGAAAGTTATTTTTTTTGGCCAATGAAGCTTTTAGCAATTATTTAAAATGCATCTGATCACACTACACAATCATCTAGAACCAATGTGAATGAACACCACAACAGCTTAAGCAGCAAACTTGGCAAAACACAAAATGTTAATGTTTTACCAAGTTTTTTCAGTTATGCAAACGAAAAGAGAACAGTTCGTTTTATCATTTTACAAACATTGAATGTTAGTTTTGAATGTTTTCTGAAACAAGTATTAACATTTAAAAAATGTTAGATGAACATCCAACTAAAACGTTTCGGGGGAAAAAAACATTCCATGAACAATGTATAAATAAGGTTATTATGCTAATGTTTTGAGAACAGTATTAAAGACCAGATACATTCGAACAAACATTGTATTAACGTCACTGGAAGAAAGTTCATAACTTTGAGAGAAACTTCTGAGCGTTCCCTGTTAGCTCGTATCTTGTTAAATTAATGTTCAGTGCATTATTTTAGTGTTGTGTGTTACTATGATGGTGTTCTTGTGTATATCACATGTGCACCTTCAATATGTTAGTATTTACCTCAGCTTGTGGAAAAGCTGCTTGTGATGAACTTCTTCCTGTGCCTTCTCTTTGCCATCTGTGTTTTTAAGTTGGTTGTCAGTATGTTATAAAGGTAAAAACAGATTTTAGTAATTATTTCAGTTAATGAAATATACATTTTTTATTTAGTAAATTTAAGTTCAGTTCAACTTAAAATGTTGCTTAAAATGTGGAAAAATGTTTTCTACTCGTAAAGCAGCAAAGGTGTCCTTGCCTGAGTCATTAGGGCTTAATAGAAACGGCGCGGAAAACTCTGTGCATCACATTCGAAGCCTCTTAGTTTGTCATTGATTTCTGCTTATCTGTGATGTTTCAAAGGGGCTTTTGTCTTTGTAAACAATGCTTTTATAAGGAAAAAACATTGATGCATTGAAGAAGAGGGGAAACATCCAGGAAAACCGTCCGTCCTTGAGTTTTCCTTCAAACTTTCCCTGAAATTGACACTCCATGTAGGAATTCCACCGTCTAATTATGTCTCTTGTGGAGAGGTACGTGAGTGCTTTGTAAAACAGCAGCTGATGCTTTGAACCGTGTGCATGACGCTGCTATCTTTGATGGTGTTTAAGCGCAGTGGACACGCGTAAATCTGATGGTGCCACTAATGCCTGTTTAAAGTTTCCCTTTATACAAGTGACATTGTGCCTTAATTGATGACTGAATCTGTGTTTGCTAACGAAGAGTAACGAAGAGACTCTATTTCAACAAAGCCCATCTGATACACGATTGATCTCCTCTGAGAATGAGAAATGATTTTTTAAAGCTACGGCCTACACAATAGATGATTCCTCGCAAATCATGATAGCTTTCAAAGTTGAACGGGCCCGTTCAGCTTCAAAGCTGATTTTATGTGGCAGGTGATGAAATAAGAGTAGATAGAGATATACTTGCTTTAAAGGAACACTCCTCTATTTTTGAAAATAGGCTCATTTTCCAACTCCCCTAGAGTTAAACAGTCGAGTTTTACCATTTTCGAATCCATTCAGCCGATCTCCGGTAGCACTTTTAGCTGTAACTTAGCATAGATCATTGAATCTGATTAGACCGTTAGCATCTCGCTCAAAAATGACAAAAGAGTTTAGATATTTGTGTTCCTTTAAGAGAAGACACACTGTGCCTGATGAGATGATAGTTGTTCCTGCGTGACTCAAAGCAGCTCTGATGTCAAGAACAGGATGAGAACAGGTCTTTTTCCCGGTCAGAAAAAAAAAAAAAATACAACAGTCAAGACTCGTAAAGGCGGACAAGCAGTGGCCTATAATAAATAAATAAATAGTCTGGTGAAGTCAGAAAAGTATAATTAATACTAAAATGATAATTAAAATAAAAAAGTTTTTTTTTGTGCAAAAATAACAATAATATTGTATAAATGCATGGCTTAAAACAGCTCAGATGACAACAGATCTTTACCATTTAAAAATAAAATAAATAATAGTCTGGTGAAATCCGAGCAGTATAATTAATAATAGAATTATAATTATTAATAATTCAAATGATTAAAAATCAAATAAAAATGAAGCAATAATGTATATGGGCCATTCTACAGAATTGGCGCTAACTGCTGTCCCACACCAAATAAAAAACACATTTAAAAAGCATTTAAGTATTCAAAGCTTAGATGTTTACTAAGATCCTTCTATTATCTGTTGAAACCCACAATAATATTTAAAATATCAGTAAGCTTAATATATATAAAATCATAATTTATTGGGTACTTTCAATTGGGAGGTGGCTGTCCCAAACCCTAACCCCTAAATTTCAACTTAGGAAAATATTGAAATAATTTTTGTATTTTTTTTCCATTGTTGTTTTTAAAAATATCTTTTTGATTCTTTTAAAAAGTTAAGTGAAAAAAAAATCTTTATTTTATATATTTTTTGTAAATTATGAAACTTTATTTAAAAAAATGTGTCCCTCATTTTCATGTCACTACTGAAACAGTGCATGTTTTAGTCCATTGGCCGAGACTGAAATGAACTATACCCCTACATTTATGATCAGGAAATATTTATGTGTCACTCTCTCTCATAGCTACATGGTGAGTAGATTGGCCCCATCATTTTGAGGTAAATGTGCTCAAAAATCTGAAAAATGTGTGATTGTAATTCTAAGGAACGTCACTACCAAACACCTTTTTTCTGCAACTAAGCACACTGTTTTGGGAGTTATTCCATATTTAATTTTTATGTGTGTGTACAACTGTTCAAAACTGTGCTAGCTAACCATGTGCTGATTAGCATCTTTGAGATAGGTTCAAAAGTATCTAAAATTGTCACTACCGAAAAAGTTGGTGGAGTTTCGGTAGTGACATCTTTGTGTTTTTTTTTTTTGGGTGTTATCCCATAAAATTGTCACTACCGAAACAGTCACGACCGAAACATGTCATCATTGTTTCGGTAGTGACAAAAAGGAACACATAATCTTCATATTTGGGGGAAATAAACACAATTTTAGTACAGTTATGCAAATTTTTTTGTATTTTAGTATAGTGTTTTAGTATGCAAGTTAAAATTCTGTAATGTGATGTGGTCGCTACCGAAGCATTACTGTCTGTCACTACAGAAAATGTGCAGTCACGACCGAAACATGGGATCTTTTGTCAAAAATAAAGTATACTGAATTATCAACTAAGATGTTATGATAGTTTTTGGTTCAATGTATATTCAAACTAATGAATCCTTAACTTTGAAATCAGTATGATCAACCTTTTGCCTTTTACAAATAAAAATTGGATTCAAAATACAACAAATCTCATAAATTACACTTGAAATATTGTTAAATATATAATTATTGATTTTCCTCTGAATTTTTTTTTAATAAAATAGCAAAAAAACAAAACAAAAAAAAACATTTATAATGCAGATGTAAGCAAAATCTTAATAGGCCAAATATAACCCTTCTAAGTAAATTATTATTACTGTGTTTCAGTAGTGACAAATTTGGGGAGAGGACAAATAATCCAAAACTTTCTGAAAATACAATATGAGATTGTATTTAATTTACTAGAAATGTGTACCTTGGGTATTATACAATTTACATATATACAAATGTTTTGGAAAAATATTTTTTTTCCAAGACATTTCCAACTCTGACTTTGGACCAATTCTGTAGAATGGCCCATATATGCATGATTCAAAACAGCTCAGATGTCAAGAAACAGATCTTTACCATTCAAAAACAATAAATAAACAAAATAAAAACTAAATAATTATGTTCTAAAACTAGTAATAATAATTATAATGTTTATTATGTATTTTTGGATTATCAGAACTGTGTGAAAGGTTAAATTACCTCAGACAGAAGGGAAAATATGACCTTTGAACTGGCTCTGCATCAGGTTTTTTCCCATAACAAATGCCTGAAACTCTTACTTGCAAGTGCTCTGAGAAATTGTAGTAACTCTGAGGAATGATTTTTCCGGGAATGAGAAGGGAAGTGTTGTACGCTGTTGGGGAAAAAATGTGCAAAAAAATGTAAACTTCTTCTGGTAGCATATGATAAAAAAAAATGTAAAAAAAGGTTTCGCCATTATTTTTAGATGTGAGGTTGCCCTTTTGATGCACTTTATACCTGGTATGACTCCAGTCTTACTACTGGAGTCGATTATATGAATGCTGTAGATTTTTACTTTATACAGTCCACCACAGAAGTGGCAATATGTTTGGTTGAAATACAAACTGCACTATTTCTCCACAGGGTGTTGTTCCCACATTTTTTTTTATCTTACATCCCAACAAAGAACAGCCAATCAAACACAACCCTGAGGATTATGACCTGATTGTTGTGTTGGAGTTCGAACTTTGTCCTGGGTGAGCAGAGGGACACAGACAGAGCATGGATTGATAGATATTTTGGTTTTGTCCCATTTTTTTGGTGTTTTTCAAGGATATTTTAGACTGCAGTACCCCTGGGTCACAGTAATGGAGCACTATTCAGACCAGGTAAGTTCCAATGTTTTTAATTTTTACTAGTTTTGCATGAAGAATTTGTATTAAATGTAGCCTGTTATCTAGCCTGCCTGTGTAATATCTCACACAGAGCAAAGTTCAAAGTTATTTTTTCTGTCTTGTTTCAACATTTGCTTGCTTTCAACTGTTTTGGTGCTTTGGTCCATTTTCTATCTTGTATTTTCCATTGAATCCCACTGACAACAAATGATATATACAGCAAATATATTCACTATATCTCAGGGCGGTGAAGGGTTAGAACTGCTCGATTTGCTCTTTGATAAGAATGACGGCATCTTACGGCATGAGACTATGGGAACACAAAATGATCAGCTTTGGCCAGTTCAAGATCCTCATGTAAGTCTGGGTTCTTCCAAGTTTCTTAAATTCTTCGGATTTTAACAAATAAAAGGGAAAATTCACCCAAAAATGAAATTGATCATTTACTTATCCTTATGTCATTCCACATTTTTTTTTTTACATTATTCCTTGTGCAGAGCACAAAAGAAGATATTCTGAAGAATGTTCATGTGCATACAATGAAACTCAATGGGGTCCAAAATTTGGACCCCACTGACTTTCATTGAATGGACAGTTTTTTTTTAATTCTTCAAAATATCTTCTTTCATGTTCTGCAGAAGAAAGAATTCAATATCTCATCATTCACCATCCTGTATTTTTGATTGCCAGATGATGATGCCCGCTCAGGGTAATGTGGACTTCTTCAACGCACTTTTAGGTGGGTACGACTCTGTTTCTGGATCTCCAGTTTGGTCGCCCTCTCCTAGCGACAGCGGAATCAGCGAAGATCCTCATTCGGATCACATCGACAGTCCGCCGCCAACCGCAAGCCCTCCTTTGGAGCCTCGCATCGTAATATCCCAGGCACAACACAATCTTGACACCAACTTCCCAATTAATTTCAGTGAGTATCAAGTATTCATAAAGCGAACCTTCCTGGTGACTCGAGACTCTGTAAACAGATAATTACTCCCACTTATTGATTCACTGCATTGTGCGCTGTTATGGTACATGCTCTGAAGATAAGCCCCTATTCCTGAGCTTTGTAAATCTCTCCACACGCAAACAAAGAAGGATAAATAGTATTATCTGTTGCTGCAGATGGCTGGGAGACTGGCTTCTTCCCAGACAGGCCTGGAGGGATGCAGAGCGCATCTGAAATGCCACAGGCACAACCGACCACTGGATTCCCTCTAACTGTCAAGGACCTGCTGCTATCTGGCACACCAGAGCCTGTGAGTTTGCACTCATGCGTGAAGCTAGGTAAAATACACATGGCAGACTAGGGAAAAGGTGAACTTGAGTGCAGATGAAAGGTGAACTCGATAGGTTTCTGACCGTCCAGGCACACAGAGACGTTGATTGGATTTGTTACTTTCATGTCCGTTTGATATTCCAGGCCACAAAGGTTTCCCAGCAGTCCTACCAGGAGCTGGTTCTCACAGAGGATGAGAAGCGACTACTTGCCAAGGAAGGAGTGACTCTGCCAAATCAGTTCCCGCTCACCAAGGTACCGTCAGTTGGCAATTACACCACAATAGTAGAGCGCAGGCGACAGTCTTTGTAGCTCAATGTTTCTGCTTCCCTCCCATGATCAAGTACGAGGAAAGGATTCTGAAGAAAATCCGACGAAAGATCCGCAACAAGCAGTCGGCCCAAGAGAGCAGGAAGAAGAAGAAAGAATACATCGACAGCCTGGAGAGCAGGTATTGACTGTTGTGCTCGAACAAATGAAGCAAAAGCGGACGCTACATGTGTTGAATCACGGAGTAAAAATCATAATCCGAGTTGATGAAATTAGCAGCTATTGAACACAAACCCCCTGGCAAAATACCAGGTGGAAGTTCACTGCTGTGTCTGAGAATTAACTTGAGAGTGGATTTGATTACAACCTCTTTTCTTTTACATGGTTCTTATGGGAAATTTGTTTATGTAGGATGGCGGCATGCAGTGTGCACAACCAGCAGCTGCAGAGGAAAGTCTTCCAGCTGGAGAAATGCAACATGTGAGGGAATCATTTACTTGGTAATCTTCACACTCCATACAGGCTCCTGAAATTGAACTTTTTACCCCGCTCTCTCCATTTCAGCTCCCTGATGGAACAACTGCGTCGGCTGCAGGCGTTGGTCATGAATGGATCTAACAAACCAGCCCAGACTGGGACCTGCATTCTGGTGAGGGTTAAAAGAAGCTATATTTGCACATGAAAGATCAAGGTATACAGTAATCATGCTTTAGGCATTTAAAATCACACACTACACACATACATAACACATAGCATTTTCTTTGGCACTTGCTGCTGATTTCTCTCAGTGCAAGTCAATGTTTTTTCACCACAAACACATTCTCAAAACACATTCTTGGTCTTATTTTAAATGATTTATCAGTACGTTATTCCAAATAAACAGAAAAGTAAAAATTATGATTATGATTCCCATGCTAAAATATAATGCCTCATATATATATTTATTTATAAAGACACATTTATACTTTGTAAAAAAAAATGCATGTTTGCAAAATTTTTTTTTCTTGAATTAAACTGGATTTCAATAAATTACTGAAAAATGGTATGGAAAATATTATCTATGCTTTTAGATGTATAAACCTGAAGAGAAGCATTTCCAATTTGAATCATTTATTCACAGATTCATACATACTGTTTCAAAGCACTTTTACAGAAAACATTGCCTTACAATCCACCATAAGCAATCCAAATTCAGCAGCAAGAAAAATTTCATATAAAGATACAAAACAAATACAAACTGTACAATCTAAAGAGGGAAAGATGAAACAAGATCACTTTTTAAATTTTCCAAAAAACTATATGCAGATTTGTTATTTCTTACTATTGCTATTTCTTACTATTTTATTGTGTCACAAGAATAAAATCAAGATTATTTCAAGACTTTCGAATGCAGAATATGTTTCAAATGCCAAATTTTGTCATTTGTTATATATTTTTTTTACTTTCTGTTCATTAAAGTACCATGGAAAAAAATATCACAAAAATATTAAGTAGCACTGTTTTCATTATGATAATAATAAGAAGAAATGTTTCTTGAGCACCATTTCTGAAGGATCATGTGACACTGAAGACAGGTGTAATGGCTGATGAAAATTCAGCTTTGCAATTACACAAGTAATATTAATTAAAATTGCCATTTGTGGTTGACTTCAATTCAGTAAATGTAAAAAAACATATCATCTAGTCTCACACCTATGGTACATTTTGTTGTGTTTTATGAGGTGGCACAAGACTTGCTCTTAAATGCTCTTAAAGCAATCACATCAGTGTTCCTCAAAAAGAAGGAGGCCAGGGAACTAAGTAATCACATAACAAGGAACTCCAATCTACAGCTACTTGATGACAAAAACGAATGTTACATCAAAGTTGTGCTTCAATTGCCATTCGTGCTGCTACGCTCGAGCCTTCCGTCTGCCTCTGTCCCTTAGGTACTACTTTTGTCTTTCACCTTGATTCTGCTGCCCAATCTGAAGCCCTTCACAGATACCAAGGTCAGCCAGCACGGAGACTTCAGCCCACTGAGAGGTGAGTTTTCTGGCAGAAACAACTTCTCCATCCAGTCCTTCAGGGGGAAAACCTATTACAACTACCTTATATCCTCTCGCCGCTAACTTGAGAGGAAAATGTCATGCTTGAAGAACAAGGGGTTCTTCAATCTGTGTAATGTATCATTTGGTTGACAAGCCATTAGGCTTGGACTGAAACCTTGTGACAGTTATTGGAAGTACTGAGAGAAGTGACGCGGACTAGAAGAATGGCAAACAGCTTAGTCATGTTTCCCACACGTTGAATCAACAGTGTGGAAGAAAAGCTGTAATTTATCCTCATCAAACTGCTGTCAGTGTTTCTGAAGGGAATCAATTCTTATTTTGCAGGCTAAGCGTAGGTCATGGTTAAAGTTTGGCGCACTTGTTCACAGTTTTGTTCAATTACGCTAACTGTTGAGCGCCGCAGCTCTTTTGGATGGTTGAAGTTCAGGAATAAAAGAACAGGGGGAAACGTGTCACAGCGTGACTTGTCTATGTTTATTTCCTCCATAGACATAAAATAACTAGAAATTCACTTTCTACTTCTTGCACTGTAGCTAGTCAAAACCAAGGTCATGAGTTTGATTATGAGGGATTGACAATATGTATAAAAAGTGTATGAATATCTTTGCATTATGGGTGTTTCTTCAACTTAGGGCACTTTTATGTCATAAAGGTTTATTAAAAACAGATTTCAACTTTTTGGCCTATGATGGTCACAAAAACTTAGAAAATTTTGGAAAGTTTAATCAAGCTGTTGTAAATTATTTTTATTATTACTTTTGAAATGCCCAGTACAGATTTTTTTTTAACCGTTGTCCAAGATCCAAAATTATAAAATCCATCATAAAAATATGAATTATTCCAGAGAAAAATATAATAATCTTAATAAATAGTGAAATATCAATGAACTATTTAATATTTATTGTGTAAAATGTTTTCTAGCTATTTTTCAAAAATAAATTAGTGTAATAATTTTCACCACAGTTTTGCCTTTTTTCTATTTCTTTCAAAAGTAAGTGTACTTGATTACCAAGGAGACAATAGTGTCAGTAGAAAGCTTAAGATGAAATATGAGACATGATGTGTGAAGAAACTAAAGAGAAATTAAGGTAGATATCATTTGTGAACATAGTTTCAGTGTGTGTCATTTCCAATAAGCAAATGATCCAAAACGTGTGAAAATACTATTTTTGTGTATTTATGATACAAAATGTCAGCTCAGAGCCTTAGCAATACAAAAGGAGTTGACCATTTTATTCACAAAAACAAAAAGTTTACAAAGTAATTTACGTTTGTAAATTACAAGATGAAAACAATAATAGAATTCTCTCGTGATCTACACTGCTGTTGGGATCAGTAAGATTTTTAATGTGTTTTAAAGAAGTCTCTTCTGTTCATCATGGCTGCATTTATTTGACCAAAAATACAGAAAAAAAACAAAACAGTAATATTGTGAAATATTATACTTTAAAATATCATTTATTTCTGTGACGCAAAGCTGATTTTTCAGGATCATTACTCCAGTCTTCAGTGTCACATAATCCTTCACAAATCATTTTAATATGCTGATTTATTATCCATGTTGGAAGCAGTTGTGCTGCTTAATATTTTTTTTGGAGCCTGTGATACTTTTTTCGGGATTCTTTGATGGATAAAGTTAAAAAGAACAGCATTTATATAAAATCGAAATATTTTCTAACAAATTAAGTCTTTATTATCACTTTTTAACAATTTAACACATCCTTGCTGAATAAAAATCGTAATTTCTTTAAAAAATATATACTGACCCCAAACTTTTGAATGGTATATTGTTAGAAAAGATTTCTATTTTGAATAAATGCTGTTCTTTTTACATTTTTATTCATCAAAGAATCCTGAGAAAAATATCACCGGTTCCAAAAAAATAAGGATCATGTGACACTGAAGACTGGATTATGAATGATGCTGAAAATTCAGCTTTGCATCACAGGAATAAATTACATTTTAAAGTACATTAAAATAGAAAACCATTCTTTTAAATTGCAATAATATTTCACAATATTACTTTTTTTTCTTCTGTATTTCTGATCAAATAAATGCAGCCATGATGAGCAGAAGAGATTTCTTTAAAAAAAAAAACATTACAAATCTTACTGATCCCAAACTTTTGAACGGCAGTGTATGTATATAGACACTGTTGTTAATTGTAAGTAGATTAATTACATAAACTAGTGAGAGTGTACATTTATTTTCTAAACTTTTGGGGCAAATATCAAGTGGCGTTTGTTTTAAAGAAGGATAGGACAAGACAAGAAGTAGTTTGAAGTAACTTTCTTACATTTTCTTTAACCGCTTTCAGTTCAGTCACGGTCACTGCACAACCTTCAGCCTTCCCTCGAGCACCCGTTCTCCGTGTCAGAGGACTCCAAAATGCTCCCGCGCTTCTCGGAGGATAAAAGTATGGCGGAGATCGCGTCGCTGCTGGGAAGACTTCACAGGAGACCAGACTTCGCCAATTACGACCCTGAATCTCACAACCACAGTTTAGACCTGCATGACGACCATCACCATGGAGACCCCATCACTGGGCATGTAGCGACAGTGACCTTGAATCCACGACGTGGCTCACGGCGGAGTCCTCATGCTGATGATATGTGAAGGGCAGAAGGGGGTTTACCCGCGGATTTGTCAAAACTCCTTTAAAGGGGTCCTATTATGCTCTTTTACAAAGTCTTGATTTTGTTTTGGGGGTGTACTAGAACATGCTCTCATACTAGGTTGTATTTTTCACATATTTTACATTATTACAACACCTCTCTCCCCAGTCTGGCATGAACGGCTCGAATAGTTCCTGTA